GATGCCAGACTTCCTAGCATTGTATACTGTCCCTTGTAGGCATATTGTCTCTTTGTGATAACGAGATGTCACCCGACAGTCATTCATCATTATAACCTAAGTTTGCACCGGTATGACACACAAGGTCATAAAGAGGCTCCTAACCAATCACTGTCCTTTCTTTTGACTCTGTTTTCTTGAACTCAGTGTATAAAAACCTGATTTCTTTTGTGTTTGGGGTGCCTCTTTTGACAGAGGTAGCCCCTTCTAAAGGTTTCTCATGTCCAGTGAAATTATTGGCAGTCATCTCCGGGCAAGAACCCCGTTCTGGGTCCAACAATGCTTGTGCCACAGTTCTTTGCAAATGAGGGACAGCTCCAAGTGGAAGTACCACTGTGTTGTAAACAAGAGGCTGCAAGTTTAATTCCTGGCATTGTCAGGTAAAGATAGGAGGGAGAACCCAACCAGTGGCTCTAGAGTAGCACTCGGACTGTCCAGACACGTGGAGCCTGCATTCCAGGGAAGTACCTTTCCCAAGTGCCCGAGGAAGGCCAGATGGATGGTTTCTCCAACAAAGGCAAGGAAAGAAAATAGCACTTCCCCATCTCAGGGGGACCTGGAGCAGGCAGGGACTAAAAATTACCCTCTGAATTTCCTCTCTTTTTCCTTTTCTCTCTCAGGATGAAAACCCTTTTCGAAACTTTTTAAAGCCGCAGAGGACAGGCAGGCTATCTAGTTCCCGAATGTGTGGCAGTGAAGTGAGGAGGAATCTCCGTATTAACGGAATGGGAAACATGTTTAAATTCAGGGACAGGGCTATCCTAAAAAACTGAAGCGAGCTGTATCCATAATCGTACCTTGTTCACACCGCTATGCGGATCGACGTTAGCCTCGGCTTTGTCAGCTGCCTGCTTCTCTTCAGCAGTCGCGTCTCTTCTTCTTTCTCTGCGGGACTCCCTTGTTATGGTGTCCGCGTCCTCGGGCAAAACCCGGAGCGCAGGATCATTATTGCAGAAACAAATCCTGGGACCATCCGGGGGGAGCTTTTTCGCAATCCAGATTTTCCAACAGCTTCCCGAGGGGAGGTTTCCCTCTTTTTAGCCCCCCCCCCCTCGGGGTCCTGAAAGCCACGTAGGAAAGAAGCAGGCCGTGTATCAGCAAGTAGAGGCTGCTCCATCGTTTTTCTGCCCTGCGCAGTGGTATCGCCTTTCCTTGAACACAAGTTGGGTGGGCGGCGTCGAAGTCGGCCGAAGTTTTCTCCTCCCGACTCGAAGAATGTTGTTTTTATTTGGAGAGCATGTATTTGATGCATACGTGATATTTTAATATTTATTTTTTCTATGCATTCCCACTTTTCCTCCAGGAGGAAATGAGTGTAGTTCCTCCCTCTCCCATTTTATTTTCCCGACAACACGGAGAGATCGGTTGGGAGTCAGTAGCGATTCCAAGTCGCCCTGCGAGGTTGGTCACTGAATGGGCACTTGAGTTTAGGCTTCCCCAGTCCCCGTCTAACTCCCCACTAGTGTAACTCTCTGTTCCGCAACGTATCTCCTGAAAGAGGCGAGGAGTTACTGTAAATCTCCGTTTTAAGTGTCCTTATGTCCTACAATTACGCGTGCAGAACTCACGGGTTTTTAAAAATACTTTTCGCTTTCGGCCACGAGAGGGCGCCGCGGGGCAACGTGTACATTTGAACCAGACAGAAGTCAGAAAATGAACAGGATCGGCAGACAATTGCTAAGAGGCGACTGCTTTAGCTGGCGTCGTGAGTCCGTAGCACCTTTGAGGAACGATCCCAATATGGGCTGGCACTAGAGGGTACACGTGTTACTGAACCCGACTTTTTAGGGCTCGAGAATGATGTTTCACGAATGAAAGGCATTGCATTGCATTGTTCAGCAGAGATTCCTTTGCACACACTGCTGCAGCAAGGGGATTTGCAAATGGACATGAAACAAACTGGACTGAAATTAGGCACTGTTCTTTTTCTTTCTTCCTGACCTTCCCTTCCAATATCTGAAAGACATTCTTCACCATAAACAGAGAAGACAACCTGTGCTGGCTCAAGAAATTCTGCTGCAAAGGATGAGATATCTCCCAGTCCCCCTCCCCATATTCGATAGAGAAGTTGACTGGACTGAATTTCCAGTACCTTAAAACACAATTTGCAACATGTATAGGGTTTGTTTTACAGTTGACTTTTAATGGATTAATTAATTTTAATTATTTATGGGGTATTTTTAATTGTTTATGGGTTTTTTATTTTAATTGTGAGCTGCCCAAAGTGTTTGTTTTACAGTTGACTTTTAATGGATTAATTAATTTTAATTATTTATGGGGTATTTTTAATTGTTTATGGGTTTTTTATTTTAATTGTGAGCTGCCCAAAGTGTTTGTTTTACAGTTGACTTTTAATGGATTAATTAATTTTAATTATTTATGGGGTATTTTTAATTGTTTATGGGTTTTTTATTTTAATTGTGAGCTGCCCAAAGTCACCCATTGGGGGAGATGGGTGGCATACAAATAAATAAATAATAAACAAATAAATAAATAAATCTGAAGGCAGCAGACTAGTTTTGTGGGTACGACATAAGCTATGATGTGTTCAGCTCTGTCTTAAGACATCTTTTGATTCTCTCATGGTGCTGCCTAGCATCTGCTTGCTGCTCACTCAAACAGATCCTGCAGTTGAGCAGTATTACTATCCCAGTAGACCAGCCACACATGGACACAAGCAGGGCCCACTTAAGCTGTCAGCCACTTTGTTTAAGCAGGAGCCTTTCCCACCACCGTTGACTTGCCACGTTGAAAAACAAAAGCCAGCACTTCTAGAGCTGGAATACCAACTGGGAATGGGGGGAACAATTGGCAGCCTCAGAGACAATAGCTGGTGGTAGGAAGCCTGCACTTGCCTGAGACACTCATCTCACAGTGCCTAGTGGTAAGGACAGCTCTAGGATAATTATAGAGATGTTGCTCATCTTTTCATTCCACGTTCTCACCTGTTATTACTGGTATTACTAGAAAGAGAAAAGAAGGGAAGGGGGGTGGCTTTGAAACAGTGGAGTAAAGGGACAAAAGGGATCTGAAGAATGGCTTCCATAGGCTCTGTAGCTAACCTGTCACCAGTGGATGTTCACAACTCCAGATGGGAGCTGTGTCTGGTTCCAAGCTGTGTTATTCAGCAGAGGGGTATAGAAGCAGCCTGAAACCAACCAAGCAAATTGTCCCACCTAAAACTTTGTTTTGAGGCAAGGCGCTCTCCTAATGTCCCTTCACCCGTTAGAATGACAACAGGACTGGCATCTCTGCTAAGGGACCTGGAAGAGAGCGCACTCCTCCGATCCTCGGGCAGTCCAAAACCAAAAAAAAAGGAGACTTGCATGAACGTCAGTTACTTCTAGCACCGGGTGAAAAGGGCCCAGCTCCGTCGACGCTTGCGCACGTCTGGCACTGGGAGCGGCGGCTTCCTCTTTTCGTTTTGGGAACAAGCGAGGGCGGCGGCGGCGCTGAGATCAGCCGCTTCTCGGCTCTTGGACACTGGCCGAGGGATCAGCTGATCGGCGGAAGAAAGCGAGCACGTGATTGTCTGCCTGGCGCAGGAAAGCGACCGCTGTCGCAGGCTTTCGGTGGTCGCGAGAACTGGTTGTGGCTTAATGTCTGATAGTGTAAGTGTTCTGATGTCTTGAAGTTTGGATGGGTAATGGACGTGAACGTTGGTAACAGTCGGGATCGGGAATAGTTTTTTTCCCTTTGCCTGATCAAAAATTGCACTATATGAAAATGCACAGAAAAACCAAAGTTGGTTCAAGAGTACCTACTGATTCCAATTCCAGTTATAGATTTGAATTAATTTTGGCAGTTTGTGTCATCGATAAAATAGGATTTCATTAAATGATAGAAATATCTAATTTACACAATTATGTCCGCTCGTCTTGATGCACCCGGAAGGCTAATCTGTTTCATTGTAAATGCGGAAGTTGGCTTGCAGTAGCCACGGAATAAAATATATAACCCAAGTCTTCAGTATTGATTCATTTTAAAATAGATTGTATGTTTCCAAGATTCAGAGATACACATGTGTTATTTAAAGCTCACCACAAGATTCTCTGTAAAACTGCAGAGAATTTGGACTGCATCTAATTATGTAGCGCAGTTGTTTGGATAGAAAATCATCAGGCTGACTAAGAATGTAAGTTTTCTGATTCTTAAGATAAGGTGAGTGAAGCCCTGAATAATACATTTAAAAGGGGAAAGCAGAGAAAAAGGATGTATTGAGAATATATGCCTTAATGTTGGTTAGTAATGCAGAAAGATGCATTTGCAATATATAGAGAACATGATTTGTATTACAGCAGTTCCAGGTTTTTGGCTGCACTTGTATTTACAGAGTAATTTGCTATGACATCTAATTAAGAATTATTTATTAAATGACTTGGCAGGCAGTTGTTTATACATATAGATAATAGGGATGTGCATTTTTCAAAAATGATTTAAAGAAGTGCTTTGAAGCTTGCAGAAATATAGTGCCTTTCTGCTATTCATTAAAGTAATCCATCTTTTTCCAGGCATGAACCTGGAAAAAATATGGCTGCTTTAAGAGTTACATTAACTTCAGTGAGTTGGCTCTTTAAAGCAGCTGCATCTTTTTCAGGGTCACATGCAACTCTTCCCTAATTTTTGAAACATGTCTAGGTCTGATAACTAATGAAGTGCAAGTATGGTTTTATTAGTATTTCTGCAGATGTTTCCTGAAATAATTTGAAATAATAATGAACAACTACAGCTTCACATTCAAAAAGTAATTCTTCATGCTTTTAATATTCATCTTAAGGACTTTCAAACATTAAACTAAAAGTGCTAGCTTACAATATGTAGCACTAACAAGCCACGGTGCTGTGATCTGGTGCCTTGCTAAACTGGTTTCCTATAATATCCAAACAACAAAAATGGTAAAGCCTATCCTGAGTTTGACTCCTGGTAACTTCATGGACACAGGGATAAATTTCTTGGCAATAGTTTGGAAGTAGTTTTCTATTGCCTTCTTCCAGGATGGGGTTTTTTTTTTTTGCTTTCCAGATTAGCCCACTGCCTTAATATTACCTGGTGGTTTCCCATTCAGATACTAACCAGGTCCAGGTTGACTAGGTGCTGCAACTCTATCTGGTCCTAAACAAGAACATTGCAATGTAATTGCTTCTTGCAAAGTTGGAAGTAGTACCAGGCATTGATCCTATGCCTCATTCTGCCCCTGAGATTCTGCCCCTGCTTATCACAGAAAGATTTAAATAATCACATGTAGCTACCTTATGCTGAGTACATAAGATTCATCTCAGAGAAAACTATATCACATGACTGGACGTAGCTCTCCAGAGACCTGGCAAGAGATTTCCTCTGTCTTGCTATCTGAGATTCTTTCACTGCAGATGTCAGATATTGAAACTGGGAATTGCAACATACTGATTACTCTGCCACAAGCCAGCCTTCCTTCCTTGATGCCCGTCAAAGTGCTGGGCTGTATCATTCCATGAAATCCACAGAGGCGTGCTTAGTTTTAAGACAACTGGATCAGGGGAGTCAGCATATTCTTTATGAAAGTGTAATGTAATAGATACTGGTTAGGAACTCTGTGTCTGTAATTTTGCTTCAGGATCCTGCTCTAACAGCAGCATGAGTCCTGGTATGCAACACTGGGAACTTGTGTGTGTGGCTTGAAACAGGGAAGAGTAGGTGGGATCATGTGCGTCCCAGAGTCAGTTTCTTTTTCAATTGTTGTCATACCAGTTTGCCTAATTCCTTCTGGAACTTGGGTGGTTCATTCTCAGATATTTAAATCACAAATAAGAGTGATAAAGAGAATCTGGGTTATAGATAAGATCTCCAAAGAAGAGAGAGCATCGGGCTGATGGCAACCAGTGGCATTATGCTATGAAATGGAACAGTACAGGTTGAGGCTTTTAGAAATTAGTAAATTTAGACGAGCTGGCATGGGGTGGTTGGTGGATGGATGTGGGCTTCTAGCTGGGCCTCAGTGAAGTTTATTGTTTTAAATGATTGTTTTATTGTATTGTGTTTATATTTTGTTTGCTGCTCAAAGTTCCTTTTGGTTGATGGGTGGCTATATAAATGTGCTTAATAAATAAGTTAAGTAAGTAAGTAAGTAAGTGGTATACTTACCAACAGTGCTCTTAAACTCAATCAAGTGTGTACAAATAATCTGCAAGAGAGAGCCAGTTTGGTGTAGTGGTTAAGGCACCAGGCTAGAACTTGGGAAACCATGAGCCAGCTGGGTGATCTTGGGCCAGTCACTCTCTCAGCCCTAGGAAGAAGAAGTCAAGGGCAAACCACTTCTGAAATCTTGCCAAGAAAACTGCAGGGCCTAGTCCAGGCAGTCACCAGGAATCAAAACTCACTCAAAGGCAGGGGAAAAAAAAAAAGGAAGAATGTAATGACAACTGTCACACAATGTTATCTTGGTGATATGCATGTT